GATTTGGAAGTTGAGAGAAGTCCAGGGTTTGGAGACAGTTTAGAGTTCTTGCTTATACCCCTCAGTCCCATTAGCATTGAGCCTCCAGCTACAGATGTGCACACACCCCCACTCCATTTGTTGAGCCCTCACTAACTCCTATATACACAGGAGCTCACCCTCTGAGGGGGATGCTACAGTTGTGCCCATTTCACAGATGAGGGAAACGGAGGCTCGGAGAGGGAAAAGGATTTTCCCACGTTCACACAGCTGAAAGGGACTGAGCGAGGACTCCAACCCAGGTCTCCCCAGGCTGCTCCCCTCCTCCCCATCTCTGGACCCTGACACAGCTCTTCTTTCTAGACTCATCACAGTGGGCTTTGTACTTGTTTGTATCTTTACGGCTGTTAGACTCTCAGCAACTGAACGGTAGACTGGCTACCTTCCTCCGCAAGGTTCTCTTCCCCCAATTTCACATCTTCCGTAATCCTTATCCGCCAGAATCCCCCAGTCCTCTTCCAACAAGGAAGGAGGTTAGAACCATAGAGTGTGGTGGGGCAAGAAGTTGGGGGACAGGGAAGGGGGTAGAAGGAAGGCTCTGGAAGAGGGAATGACAGACTTTGGTCATTCTTACACGAGTTGTTAATAGTAACTGGGAAAAGACATTGAAAAAGCAATTCAAGGACATACAAAAAAGTTTTTTTAAGTCCAAATGCTAGATTTCTCCCTTGTCCCTCCTGAGGGGACTCGTGGCTAAGTTTCTCGTGGATCCTTCCAGAAGTTTTCTGTGCACGTACACATGCATGTTCATTCTCTCCCTCACCCTTGCACTTGGCACCTGCCCCTCTGTGTGTCTCAGCAGCACTCCGCATCCCTTCCCATTCTTCTCGGGGCGGGGCCTTTCCTGGTGTGGATTCACCCTGGGTTATTTAAACACCCCTCCCAGGGCCATCGGATGACTTCCTTCCCCACAACAGTGCCGCCCTGAACACCCCTGAGTCTGGCTCAGCCCCCACATAAGGGCCCCCTGCAGGGAAAGGTATTGGGGGGGGTGAGTAAGGAAAGGATTTCCAGGCGGAGTTGTGAAGTGGGCAAAAGCAAGGGGGCTAACAAGATCCCTCATGAGCCCCTGTCTATGGCCCACTTGGGGTGTGGGGAAGGGGTCCTAGGTGACAGCTCTGTGCTGAGCTGAAGCTTCTGCAGGTCCCAGGTGGGCCCCCACCTATATATTTTTTAAATATATATAATTAAATATATATAATTTTAAAATATATATATATAATATATTTTTCCTTTAAAAAATATATACATTTTATTTCAGAGAGGAAGGGAGAGGGAGAGGGAGAGAGAGATAGAAACATCAATGATCAGAGAGAATCATTGACCGGCTGCCTTCTGCACACCCCACACCGTGGACTGAGCCCGCAACCCAGGCATGTGCCCAGACCAGGAATCAAACCGTGACCTCCTGGTTCATAGGTTGATGCTCATCCACTGAGCCATGCCAGCAGGTCCCACTTATGTTCTGTAGCTTTGACTCCTCCCTGACACCTGCTCCACACCATCACACCTTCGGCTTGCTGGAGGCAAGTTCCTTGGTGCCCTCCAAGCCCTGTCCTATCCTCAGACCCTGGAAGGAATTCACTGCGGGACCAAGGGAATTGCTCAAGCGCTTAGCTGCCCAGTGAGGAACTCCCTGCCTAAAAGGGGGGGGGGGGGTTTGAGAGAGGAGCCAGGCAGAGCCAAGTTCACAGGGGCAATGACAGGACTAGATTTGGCAAGATCTGTTAAAGGCTCCCCACCTGAGAAGATGGGGGGGGGTTGCATGCAAGATCCCTGACTCCTCACAGAGGGACTTGCCAAAAGTTCACATTCCTGGGCCCCTCCCCATGCTCCCCTGTCAGAAGCTCAAAGCCCTGGAATCTGCATTTTTACAAACTGCCCTGAGGATCCTGATGCACACCTTCAGAGCCATTGCATTTTGCAGGGCCTTTATCCCTTTTAGGTTCTCAGACCTTTCTGAAAAGTTAACTTAAGGGTCGTCAATTAAAAAAAATATATTATTATGTATGTATCTTCTCCCCGCCCCCAAGAGAAAGGCCCTTTGCTGTTTTTTGGTTTTTCCCTTTCCTCATCAATGCAGCAGAACCAGGCAGCCAAGGCTGGAGAGTGTTAGTCTGTTGAATGAGTGAATTAATGAACCCATTGAGAGTGATAGACTCTCCCCCAGGAAAATGCACATATGGACACACATTTTAAAATCAAGTGTAGGGGGACTCAGAGACTCCCTTAAGCCCACCCAGAGATGCCCCCTTAAAAATAAGGTTTCTGCCCCTGGCTGGGTAATTCAGTTGGTTAGAGTGTCATCTCCAACACCAAGGTTTCGGGTTCAATCCCAGGTCAGGGCACATACAACAATCACCTCAATGAGATGTGTAAATAAGTGGAACAATAAAAATTTATGTTTC